TATATATATATATATATATCAACATATTAAAAAAATAGTGAGTCTATATTATGATTTTCTATGATCAATTTCATGATTTTTACCATAGGACTCGTATGTTGACAATGTTGATCGGATACTTGAGTTCATATAATGCTATGAATTCATCTAAATACACTTTTTATGAATATTCATGGCTTATTTTGTAATTTTTTAATTACAATACATATGTTACCTCACAAATATGAAGTCAAGGTCATTCAATAACACATATTATATGTCATTGTAATTTATACTTATATTTTTAATAATATATCAATATATATTATATTTATAATATAAATATAAATAATTTTTAATCACAAATAGTGTGTTATAAATGGATGTGTGTTATATATAGATTTTTTTTTATGGTGTAGACAAAAACAATTGCTTTGTGTGAAATTTGATGGTTATTTGCTTAAAGCAAACAACTAGTACTTCAGTAGGTATACCAATTACCTTGTGTAAATAATGATAAGTAAAGTACCGTTCGCACAAAGACGTTTACATCAATTATTAAATATTATCAAGTTATTATTTGTTGAGTTAATATCAATAGTGTAATTTTATCATATTCCTACATAATGAAATTGAATGAAAGACATGCACTCAGAAGTAAGATGATGAACAAGAACTAATGGTGATTGGGAAACAATATTTTTATACCTTCTTCTAATATAATTTTATTTTTCTTTTAATTATGGCCAATTCCATCGATTATTGTTCAAGTTTATTAATTATTTCTTTAGTTTTTTTATTAAAAAAATTATTTATATTTTAAGAAATTTAAAAAAAAATGAAAAGGAAGTCTTCATCCTCTTTTTTCCAAAATTTTATGATTTGGAGAGAAGTTTTTATTGTTGATTTAGATAGAGAGAGAGGGAGTTTTTCTTCTTATTTTTCTCAAAAGAATGAATTAATTATTTCTATCATTTTATTTTAATTTTCTTCCTCTATTATTTTCTGTTATACTATCTATGTTTATGTAAATAAGACTGTTAGAATTAATTTACACTTTTAAGAAATTAGTTAATTTAGGTAAATAATATTAAGTTTGTCAATAACATGAACTATTTTCCAAAATTAACTTTAAGATATCATCTCTCTTTTCACTTAATTGTTTCTCAGTTAATTAAGTAATGTTTAAAAACCGGTTAAATATATTATTCTGACCGATAATGAGCTTAAAAAAAGTGAATTAGTTTGACTTAAAATATATTGTTCAAAGATTTGGAATGGTGATGCTAAAATATTTATTTAATTAGGTTGATAAGATTAGTCTAATAAGTAATCGGAAACTGGTGAGCATTTTAAGGAATCATCACATGGTGATTATTGTTTAAAACATTGGAGTCAATTGAAGCGGGACCCGAAAGTAATGGCATCGTATCGCAAAGGCGACGCTGCAGGGTAAGCTTTCCGACACAACCAGATGGCCCATTGGCCCACGTGTCACTCAACCTGCGCGTGTCATTCTCATAGCTGTGGCTCCGAATGTGCCAACCACACGAATCTTAATTCTTAAACCCCTTTTTGGGCTTTCAAAACCTTCATCCACATGCCTCAAATCAAATACTACAGTTTTGGGTCAACACTGTTCCATCACCATGTCCGTCACACACTTTCTACAATTCACTAACGTAAAACTAACCATCAACCACACTATAGTATAGACAATAAATAAATAAATTAATTAAACAATTCCTCCAACAAAACCATATGGTTCCGTTTCAAGTTTTGAATTTTACAAGTCTCTTTCCGTGATTCATTTTTCTGGCGTCCTATTCTTTTTTTTCAATCTTTCGTGTAGTTAAGTGAAGGAACATGTTCATTGGAAAGGCCATAATACCACTATTGAGTACTACTTTTTAATTAACCCTGTTTCTTTTGGGTGGTAATGCATGAAAGATTCGTAGGGAGAATATGCACAATGGTACGTACCACCCTATGTACTTTCATCACGACAATAGCATTGTATTTATCTAATTCAAATGACAGATTAGAGGACTAAAGTGTTTCCAACTCGTTCAGAGATGTAACCCAGACAATGGAACAAGAAACGACAGGAGATGAACACCAAATAAATTAAAACTAGAATGAAATTATTAAGACACACGAAACAAACATAACATTAATTATTAATTATACTAATACATTGGTCTGAGCTTGAAGGGATGGTAATGGCCAGTAGTACTAGTATTTAATAGCTGAATGGTTCGTTAACTTGATGCTCCAAAAATATACTATTCAAATTAAATGCAACTTTATTTCCTGCAGGTTCTATTTTCAATCTTCATCAACGTGTATGGTCAACCCATTGTTGTCATCTTTACGCATCGTTCTCGAGCTCTTTTTTCTTTTTAAGAATACAGATATACTTGTGATTATGTTTCCAAGTTTAGGTTGGTATGAAAATATAGTAAATGTTTTTTTCTCTAACACAAAGAGACACGCGCAAAAGTTAAAATTGCACATGTTGGGTTAAATTAAATGAAACCAAAACCCTTCTATTTAGTATAGGGTAATTTATTAAAAATTGTCTTTGTCTTTGTGAAATGGTTACCATTGATTATATAAATAGTAGTGTTCTGGCATAAGGCTTACAAACACGTGGCCACTGGAGGGGGCACATTGTCCCAGTCACAGAGAAAATAATAATTTACCGCATCTATGATCCATCACGTGCAAAGCACGACATCCATGGAGAACAGACAAAATGGATTCATTTACTTACTTTATTTTCTTAATTGAAAATGAGCAATCACTGATGAGTTGAAGATTCTTGATAATTATGAAAATACTAGTTTCGTATAAAAGGTTCGCAATAATGAGAATGGGGACTTTGATCAAAGATGGTCCAACCAAATTTGCTATCCGTGGGGAAAGTTGAAACTTCTTAAAGCTGTTTATTTGTGGTCCGAACTATTATTAAATCCTAAATCCTGTGACAATAATTACCGTAGCACTCAGTTTCCATAGGTCAAGGTTTGGTCCCTTCCTAATATTCTTTCATCTTTTGACAACTGACGTTTATCTCTTATCTATTTTACAATCTTCATTTTAATGACACCCCCACAACGCACACGCGCACAAAATATTTTGGGAAATGGCAGTCCGCACAATTTGGTTTGTTTATTGTAATTTATCATCAACTTGCAAACGGGAGATTATCAAGCATTTAATTCTGAGGTTGATCCTATAAACACGCACGCTTGTATGAAGGACATGGGTGGTGACACCTACGTTGGGTCCTAACTCAAGTGGCTTACCTGTTCCTTTTTGTTTTTATAAGAAAAAATCTATAACAAAATGGGATGTGAAAGTAGCACGGAGACGGATGATAAATACAGACAGACAGCGAGCGTATTGACTCCTGATATGTGATGCTGAATTAGGCCAAAATTATTTATGTCCAGCTGAAGTGAAAATACTATGAGTGGCGTGATACTTTTCCTACAGGGTAAACTAGCAAACAAAACAAGGGTCAGAACAAGTTTGGGGGGTTGTTAATTTCTTATTGAAGAAAATTGATGTTAGAGTTATTTTAGAGGCAAGTTTTGACAAATTATATCGCAAAAGTAGCGGTTGATCGAATGGGGGAAAAGAAAACAAATCAAGCAGGCTAAAGAAAGGGCCAAAAGATCCTCCACTTAGTCGCCATCACTGGGGTCGCAGATTCAACAGAACCTTTTTCAGGATTATATCTGAATGAGAAAGTACTTTGAAAATTCTAGGAAAACACAGGTGGGTAACAACTGAAGCTGTTTATATACAAGTTAAACAACTTTTTTATGTATAAAAATAACAAGACTACATACATCAAAAGCATTCATTCCCCTTTCAACCGTTTCCCCTTATGTCTGAAATAATTAATTTGAAGCGGCAAAGAAGAAGGAAAAAAAACTTTTGGGGGAGCTGAATCCGTCATCTCCTCCTCTCTTCTTGTTTGTTTCCCGATGAATCCACTTTGACACTTCCGGAATTTTTTGCCTAATGCTTGCTCAATTCTGGGACTTCTTTAATGCTCATCTCCACCATCTCAACCGCATTGAAACTATCCTCTTCGTTGGTTATGGTTGACTGAGAATCAATCCCGGATCCCGCCTGAATCTCCTTGAACATTGCCATCACTTGAATCATGGTTGGACGCCGCCATGGCCTATCATCCAAACAAGAACAAGCAACCTTGAGGTGCTGCAAAAGCTCAACCTCCAGATTGGGGTCTTCCTTCATGAGCTCCGGGTCAAAAATATCACTTATTTTCATCTTAGCATGTTGTTTAACCCATCCTACAAGATTATTGTCTCCAAAATCAGACGAGTCCGTTGGCCTCTTCCCAGTTAGAAGCTCCAACAAAACCACACCGTAACTGTAGACATCACCTTTGGTGGAGCATCTGAAACTCTGATAATACTCCGGAGGAACGTACCCGGGGGTGCCCGCAAGTGTGCTCACACTCAAATGTGTATCCATAGCACTCATGTGCCTAGCCATTCCAAAATCAGACACCCTGGCCTCCAGGTTTTCATCAAGCAACACATTGCTCGACTTCATATCTCTGTGAATGATGTGCGGGTTACAGTTGTGGTGAAGAAAAGACAAACCCCTCGCAGCCCCAATCGCAATTTTCCTCCTCACAGCCCAGTTCAACCTGATCCCAGCTTTCTTCTGGTCATGCAGAACATCCTCCAAGCTTCCATACTTCATGTACTCATAAACCAGGAGCCTCTCTTCCCCAACCTTACAGTATCCCAGCAGGGGAACAAGGTTCCTGTGCTTGATTTTCCCAATAGTTTCCATTTCAGCGGTGAATTCCCTGTCCCCTTGTCCGCTGACATGGATCAGCTTCTTGATGGCCACAACACTTCCGTCCTTCAACTGAGCCTTGTACACGTCCCCGAACCCGCCAGAGCCAATGAGACTGTCGTTGTGAAAGCCATTGGTAGCGTCCAGAAGGTCCGCGAACGTGAGTTTCCGAAGGGGCTTCTCAAACGTTGCAAGGTTTATGCTAAGCGCTTCCCGGTTACTGGTGTGCTTCCAGCTCACATTGGCAGGACCCGAATGCGAATTACCATCAACATAAGCCTCAAGAGCAGCCTCCTTCTTCTTCCTCCTCTTTCTGGTCTCAATGGCAATTATGATCAAACCAAAGATACAGAATAGGGAAAAGAGCAACCCCATGGCCACACTCCCCGCCAGAGAAGCCTGCCTCCTATGAGACTTCAAATGTTGGCCACTTCCACTGTTTACCGAATCCGATCCACACAGGCTCAGAGGAACTCCACAGAGACCAGAGTTGTTCTGAAACCCAGCCACAGGTAAAGTATCCAATTGACCCGATTCAGGAATCTGGCCCGAAAGTAAGTTGTTTGACAAATTAATCTCAGTGAGCAAAGAAAGCCCCGTGAGGCTCTCGGGAATCTGCCCCGCGAGTCTATTATTAGAGAGATCAAGTATGTTGAGATTCTTCATCTTGCCAAGCTCCTGAGGAATGCTCCCGGACACATTGTTGTGGCCCAAATTGAGAACGTACAAATAGTACATGGCCCCGATTTCCTTAGGAATACTCCCTGACAACATGTTGTGCGAGATATCCAAAAATATCATAGAACCATTATGGTTAAACGTTGGCTGCACCTTACCTCCATAAACCCTAGTGAAATTGCAAGGGTTCCTAGTCGAAATCCTGTTCAGCTGCTGCTGACTGATCCCCGCAAACTCCAGCAAGTTCCCCGCTCCGTGACACTCCTTACTCCCATCATTCTTTATGTAAACATACGTCTTCCCGCTGATGAAATTCACCGCGATCTTCCCGGACTGCTTGAAGAGCTCCGGCGGAATCGAGCCGGTGAGGGAATTGGTGTTCAGATCCAGCCATATCAAGCTAGTGCAGTCACCAAGCTCCGGCGGAATCCGGCCGGATAAAGAGTTATTGCTGAGCTTGAGTATGGCGAGATTGGAAAGCTTCCCAATCCAGGGAGGAATCTGGCCGGTGAGCCTGTTGTTGGAGAGGGAGATCCAATTGAGCTTGGTGCAGTTAACTAGTCCAGAGGGAATGTTCCCTGTCAACTCGTTGAAATCCAGAATCAGGTTCTCGAGGTTGTTCAAATACATAAGCTCCCGAGGAATCTCGCCGTGGAGCTGGTTCAGCCAGATGATTAGGTCTCGAAGCTTGGAGAGCGAGCCCAGGCTCGCAGGGATAGTCCCACTGAGGAAGTTGAAGCTCAAGTCCAAGGCAACGAGGTTGGAGCAGTTGCTGAGGGAGGGCGGAATAAAACCCGTGAAACGGTTATTCTGCAGGAAAAGCTCCTTCAGATTACTCTCACCGTCTCCGCAGAGAGTTGCCGTTATAGGCCCAGTGAAGTTGTTGGAGCTCAGATCCAGGGACTCCAGAGACGCCAGCTTCGAGAGAGTCTCCGGGAGAGGACCGGTGAAGGTGTTGAACGCCACCGCCAGCTCCTTCAGGCTGCTCATTTTCATCAACACCTCCATGGGCAAGGCGCCGCCGAAGAGGTTGCTGGAGATGTCGAAGGATTCGAGAGAAGCACACGCGCCGAACGCGCCGGGGACTAAGCCGGTGAGGTTGTTGGAGGAGAGATCCAGCTGAACTAGAGTGGAGCAGAGGTCGGCGAGCGCGGAGGGAATCTGGCCGTGGAAGTGGTTGGCGGCGAGGTACACGAACTGGAGGGAACCGGAGGGGAGGGAGGGAAGCGGACCGGAGAACTGGTTGCTGGAGACGTTGAGGTAGAGGAGGCGGTTACAAGCGGAGAGAGTGTGAGCAATGTCGCCGAAGTATTTGTTGGCGGAAAGGTCTAGATACTGGAGGGAGGAACAGTCACCGAAGGAAGGAATCGGCACGGAGAAGTTGTTGGAGGAGAGGTCCAAGTACTGAAGAGAAGCGGCAGCGGAGAAGTCGCTTTCGCCGGAGATTTTGTTTCCTTTCAGCGCCAGGTGGTTGAGGTCGGGGTTGAGGAGCCACGGGATGAGTGCCGGCCCTGAAATCTTGTTGTAGGAGAAATCCGCCACGCGGAGGTTGAGCTTCCAGCGCGCTGAGTCGAACTGGAGGAGGTTGTTGGAGAGGTTGAGCGATTGGAGGTTTGAGCATGAGGAGAAAAATGACATGTCGGAGAGGGAACCGGAGAGTGCGTTTTGCGACAGATCTATGGCGGACAATGAGGAGGCGCACTTGGAATGGGAGGGAGGGAGGGAAACCGAACCGGTTAGGTTGGTGGATTTGAGGGAGATGAACTGGAGGTGGTCGAGGGTGAGGAGGTAGGTTGCTACGACGGTGAGGTCGGTGCTGAGTGGGATGGAGGTGAGGTCTATGGAAGTGAGGTGGGTCTGGTTGCAGGTGATTCGGGTGAAGGTACAGGGGTTTTGGTTTGGGAGCCAGTTGGGGAGCAGGGTCGGGTTGGGTAGAGAGTTCTTGAAGCTTATGAGTTGCGGAGTGGGGTCTCTGGAAGCAGCGCCTATCAAAGTGAAGAAGATGGCCAAAGAGAGGAGGACCAAGAGAGAGCTTCTGTACAGGGCTTTCATTTTCCTATGCAAGTGCCAAGTGAGGATGGTTGTTGGTTGTTGTTTGTTTGTTGTTTTTTATTTGATTTGATCTCTCTTGGTTTAGGGTGTGAGCTCTGCCATGAGAGACCACTCAAGGTAGCTCTGTTGAGAGAGAAAGTCGGATTCAAAATGAAAGAGAGTCAAAAGTCCTAGTAAGCAAGGTAAGATGGGTATTTATCAAGTGGAAGAGTGGACACAGCTGTTGCTCACATGCCATGTGACACTCCCTCTCCCTGTTGGATCATTTCTTTAATCTAAGCTTCCCCTTTTCCACTCTCCATGGCATGTCTTCAATCAAAATACTTCATCAAACTGCAAAAACCCCACAATCATTTATTACGCTCATTTAACATTTCCCCCATTTTCACTTCCTTCACTTTCATTAAAAATATTTAACCACACATTTAATTATCTCTCCAACATTTTAGTATATTATGTAGATAAAAGCTTAAATAAAAATAAAAATACTTTATACGGTCAAAAAAAATATAAATAGTTTAATTCTATTTGCTTTTTATTTTAATCATCTTCCAATTATGTGTTCGCCAACATATTGCAAGTTTGTGTAAATATAGTAATTTATATATCTATATATATAATATGAAATATATCTAATCAAAATATATTTTATTATTATAGATGAGAAAAATAAATCATAATTTTTAAATTATAAGTAAAATTAATTAATGATCTATAAATATTTTTTATAAAATTATTATTATTATTCCTTGCATAATTATCAATAATCATTCACCGACGTTATTATTATTGTCATTATCATTATTGTTATTATTATTATCGTTATTGCTAACGACAGTGTTAGGGACAACAATATCAATAATAATGATGATAATAACAACTATATTATCACTACCGTCATTGTCATTGTTGCCACTACTATTAGTGTCACCGATATAAAGAATAATACGATGATGTTTTTAGTAATAAAAAAAACTATTTTACATTAGTTAAAATTTAATTAATGTTAAGATATTTTACACTTATTAAATTTTGAATCAATGTAAAATAAAATACATTCTAAAAGGAATCCATTTTTTCTCACTCCAATTTTTTCTTGCAAGTTTTTTTGAGAAACTCAAAACTTTCAAATCCCACCCCCTTATTGAGAAAACCTTTATTCTTCTCTTCTTGATCCTTATGTAACCCTCTCACTCTTTGCTTTCAGACACAAATATAAAACCAAAATGTATGAAATTCCCTAAGATCCCTTCGTCACTTTCAAGCCCGATCGCTTTTGCATGTCCCCAATCCAATACACTCAAATATGGAAAACATATAATAAATTAAAGCCTCCTTCTGGATTGCCAACAAAGTCATCCTACTCAACAACCTCCACCACCAAGACTCATTTACCAACGAAGTACACCACTTCATCACCCAAGTCATTTCCTTAAACTAATGTAAAAAGAAAATAATAAAAAAAAAATCTATTAATAACGTGGTAGACATTGAGAGTTAATTTGTATCTGATGTTCATGTGTGCTCACTCATGCATATGAATAGGGACTTTACAAGTCATTATATTAAGTTTGTGATACATAAGTTGTTCAAAGTGATTTGGTGTGGGAAGATGTACAATGAGAAGAACTCATTTGATTCCAGAAGAATGGATTTTGATGTACTTTCTACATTGATTATGCACATAACTAATGTAAAATAAAAAAAAAACATTTTTCTACACCGATTATAAACATATATGGTACAAAAAATATTTTTTACATCGATCCATATAAGAAGTTGTTACATTCTATAAATTTTAAATCAATAACAAACATATACCATAATGAATTCTTAAACAACATATACCCTATATGCTCTTATTATTGTTGTTGAAGTATTGTTTGTATAACATAAAGGTACTTGAGTCATCAAATATCGAAAAAAATCAGAATGAGTCTGGATATCATAAGACTAGGAACAAGTAGATCATTACCTATCGGCATATCCAATGGTTAGAAACCTATACCTTTCCTCGTTGTATATAATAACCAAGAAACATGAACTTATTCTCAGCACACTTGGCAAACAATCACTTAAAAGAGATATTTTGGTATATTCACTTGTTGAGTTGTCAAGGCCTTACTAACAATTAACCTTAATAGAACAAGTTAGGTAAGTAATAATAAGACCGTTAGTAACATTAACATGATTAATCTACCATTAGCAGTCTATAACCTTATTAGGTAACGAAGATAAAAGTCCAAAGATCCAAATTCGTTATAGCTAGGACAAATAGAGCCATATATATCGAGTTAAAAATATTATTCATGCAGTTATTACTAATTTTTATCATTCTAAGTCAAAATCTTATTTGAGTATTAAAATGTCTTTTGTAGGTGGATTACCCTTTAAAGATATATTAACAATTCGGAACCTGTTTTAAGGTATTTAGAGTATTGAAATTCATACGAGAAAATTATTGAAGTACCGTGTAGAACAACCTTAAAGTACATACAAACTACAAACAACTAGTTAGAAGTGATTACTTGTACGAGGTTACTTAGACATCTCTCACATCTCGTTAAAAAGAATGATAATGATTTTGATATATATATAAAAGAATTTAAGCTTTTTTAAAAAAAAAAAACATATCGAATATTTATAATATTTAAATTTATTAATATCACATTTTACAATAAATTTAAAGCACATGATCTTCAAGCTTTTATTCTTTATTACATGAAAATATATATAATAAGTTTGATTAAAAAACTTATTAAATAAATTAGTAATATTTATGTTGATGAATTTTATAGCGAAACTTGGTGAAATTTTTTAAAGTAAGTTAAGAAGAAAAGAGTTATAAAAAGGTTATAAAACACTTTATAATTCAAAATACATTCTACATTAGCTCTTCTAAATGTCTCCCAAAATGTAATAAAGAAAAAGATGACACATTTCATTGGAAGTAAAGCTATAAATAAGGGAATACGGGCAAATATTATATTTTAAGTAATTTTGATTTTATCTTATTCCATTTTCATAGGGTCTCAACATTTGTTTGCAAAATTTAAAGTGTATTATTTTGTTAATCAACCTAAGAGGACACTAAAGTAGTTATGAAAGCGACGTCTCTTTCGTTGATAATTTGAGTTAAAACATTAGTCTAATACACAACTAAATTAATTATCCTCACTGCCTACTTTACCTGTGGGCCTTTTGATACCTCGCTAATGTAATTAAAGAGAACTTAGTTACATGTTTCATTTTGGCTAATAAATAAAAGAGTTTACATAAACAGGGTAGTGGCAGAGGTAGAAAAGAGAGGGGAAATAGCAATTCTTGAAAAGAAGTAGGGTAATCAGTTTTTACAGTTACTTGGATAACTTCTGCAGGCGAAAGAGAAATGAAAAGGTGAATCTAAGCCAAACGACAACAAAATTTATCTTGTTCTTCACTCGAGCTTCAAAACTTTCCCCACTCTCTCGTCGCTTCCATAACCCAATACCTGCCGGGTTTCGCTATCCTCACCCGCCACTCCACTCACTCACGTTTGTCCTACACTTTCATTCTGCACACACAAACACATGATCTCATCAGCTGACTGTGAAGTGAAGATCCACATATACGCATCCTGCCACGTGGCACTCATCTAACTTCAATCGTACCAATAAGAGCCTATTTGAAAAGAAAGAAATAGAAGAAATCTGGAAAACTAAAGAGAAGTTAGAAAATTTTGTTTTGGATACGAAGGAAAAAGAGAAAAGTGTCAATATTTTTAGGTGGTCTTGTTTGTTATGTAAAACTTTCTTTCTAAAATAACAAAAAATATGAGAAATTTTACTCCTTTTTTTTTATTATGAAAATAGGGGCCAATTTAATTATATATTATTTTTGAATAATAATATTCATAAAAAGTATAAACTTCTGGTAATAAAAAAAAATTATTATTTTTTAAAATAAAATTATTAATTAAAAATACTATTTCTTATTCATTTTTCCTTTACCTAATAATTTACTTTATATCTCAGCATTTCTTTATAGTTCTCTTTTTTTTTTCCTTCACTTCACAAGATAATATATTTATCATACAATATTACAGTTTTTGTTTATTCTTATTACATCACTAATTTAATTTCACATTTATATTTTTATTGTTTGTAAATTTTATGTTTAATTACTTTAATTTTTTTTTACTTGGTAAGGACATATATTTATTTTTCAATAGGTTGATGCTTATAAAAATAAAATGATATTTCTAGACTCAATTTCATGTTTAAGGTAAGAGTCGAACTTGGTTCTTGTTTAAGAAACACAAATAATTCTTAATCCCTCATATGTTAATTGGGTCAATACAATCTTTTTAAGTTTTTTTTTTCCTTGTATAAAATCAAGTTTTTCTACTTTTTATACATATTAAGTTTTTCTATTTTGCTTTCATTTTATATTTAAATCATTAATTTACTTAAAACGGAAAAGACCGTTACCATTTTGTTCATTGACTCTCATAAAAATAATTATTTATCCACAATTATTTTGAATATAATAATTAAATTAATACATTCAACTTATCTTTTTTTGTTATTTAATTTAGGTATTTTATATTTTTAATTGATATATTGTATTTACTCAATACCATATCTAATTTATTACATCAACTAATTTTATTAATTATTAGATAAAATCAAGATAATTTTTTTTATTAAAAAATAAGGAAAATACTGACAAACTTAGTTGTTTTGTAAAGATAAAATTTCTTCTTTTATTGTCATCTTAAATGCTCTTGACGTAAAACAAAAAAAAAACGATTGTCTTTTTTTAAAAGCTATTTAAAAAGTACCCTTAAAAATCTTTAAAAAAAACTTTATTTCCAGCTTTAAAAAAAATACTTTGGAAGGTAAAGAATACTTTATTATGTTGAAGCTGTGGAAGTAATTTTTTTTTTCTAAATAAGAATGAGTGTGGCTGTCAATTTGTCGCGGGTTCCCGCTCCCCGTTCCCTCATTCCTCATTGACCAAAATTGACAGGTAATAATGTGTTTTTGTCGCTCAATATAATAATAGTACGTGTACTTTTTTTAACACGGGTGATTTTATGGTATTTTAACTTAATTATATGAGTGTTTTTAGTTGTAAATTATTGTTAGTAATGCTACTTACAAACTTTGGAGTTAAGAGATTTTGAAGGTTAAATTGATCTTTAGAATAGTTAAATCAGAGACAAGTTTCATCAACTCAAGAAAATATATAAGAATTTTCTTAAGATGTCATATT